AGTGCGTCGAGTTTAAGGCTTAAGGCTCTCGCGGGGGTTTTCATGGCTTTGGGGTTCCATGGTATATGTCCTGTAGGATTTAGGGCTTTTTGTCGCCCTGGGGTTGAAAAGGTGTTAATTTTTTGGACTTCCTAATCCCTAAACCCTGAACCCTAAACCCGAAAACCCACCAAAAATTCATTCGAACTATGAAGGCCTCTAGATTAGGTCTGTAGGGTTCTGGCTTCCAGGGTTCAGGGACAGGTCTAGGGTTCAGCAAGGCCTTTAGGGTAAGTAGGGTTTTTAGGGTTTTTAGGAATTTTACGGTTTTTAGGGCTTCGGGTTTCAGGGACCTAGACCCTGAACCCTAAAACCCTAAATTCCTACACCCTAAAACCCTAAAGCCCTAAACCCCTCTAGCAGCTCGTAGTCTTCCGGCTTAGGGCCTAGGCTTTCTTCCAGCTGTAGCTCATTAATGGGCGAGAACCCCTCTGCTGACGTGGGTGTGGGGCTGCAAATTGTAAATCTTTCGATTCTGGATCCAACTTGGAGAAGCATGAAAGGTCTCAACGTCTTGAGCTTTGAGAGTATTCCGGATGTCACATATATCTGCACAGAAACCTCTTAGCCACGAAACTCTATTTCCAATCCTTACGGCCGTGACGCTCAAACCCTAAACCCCAAAACCTCACTAAAGGACCGTAAAGGAACCCCATTAAACTCCTAAACCCCCAAAGCCTTACTAAAAAGCAGTACTGTAATTAAAAGAAACCCTAAACCCCCAAGGCCTTACTAAAGAAAAGTAATTAAAAGAAAACAACCTAAACCCCCAAAGCCTTACTAGAGAACATCAATTAAAAGAAACCCTAAACCCTAAACCCCCAAAGCCTCACTAAAGAACAGTAAAAGCAACTCTAAACCCCCAAAGCCTTACTAAAGAACAGCAATTGAAAGAAACCTTAAACCCTAAACCCCCAAAGCCTTACTAAAGAACAGTAAAAGAAACCCTAAACCCCCAATCCTTACTAAAGAACAGTAAAAGAAAAACCTTAAACCCTAAACCCCCAAAGCCTCACTACAGAACAGTAGTTAAAAGAAGCCCGAAAGCCCCGAAGCCTTACTAAAGAACAGTAATTAAACGAAGCCCTAAACCCCCAAGGAACAGTAAAAGAAACCCTAAACCCTAAACCCCCAAAGCCTCCCTAAAGTTTTAAAGAACAGTAATTCGAAGAAGCCCTAAACCCTCAAAGCCTTACTCAAGAACAGCGAAAGAAGCCCTCGAAGGCGCAACCCGGCAGCACAGGTACACAGTGCAGCTGGCTCACGCCGGAGACTCGCGGGCGGTGCTGTGCCGAGGCGAAAGGGGCTCGGGGCTTGGGGACCTAGGGTATAGGTCCTTAGGGTTTAGGGGTACAGAAGCGGTCTTCGAGCTTCGGGGGGGTTTAAAAGGGCGCTAGGAATTCCGGCTTCCGGAATTGGGGTCAAATGGCTACAGTGCTGGTGCTGGATCTGATGTAGGGGCCTAAATAAATACCTATACTATTTTGGGGGTTCCTTATTATAATTGTAGTATAAGAGATCCCAAAACCCTCTTCCAAGTATTAAAGGCCCCTACGTTAGACTTCTTTTGAGGGCTTCAGGTCTCAGCCGTCCACAGTTGAAGAGTTTTTGTTCGAGATTTGGCAAGCTTGGGGTTTAGAGTCTGTGTAAGGGCTTGGGGGTTTACAGGTATTGGGTGAACAGTTTCGGGGTTGAAGCATCTGAGACATGGGGGGATCCCCTTAATCCCCAACCCTAAAGCTTGAATCGCAAACACTGTACCTCAAAACCTTCCTCTGCAAGCCCGTCGACCTTAAAGCCGAATAACTCATCAATGCTGAAACTCTCGACCCCAAGCCCAACACCTACTCACAGAACCGCTTTGCCCAAACTTCTTTAACCTGCTCAAACATGAGACAGCGTACAGCAAAACCCTATTCTAATCCTTGGGTTTAAACCGTGTAGAACCCGTTCTCGCTACTGTGCATCCCAAGCCCTAAGCGCTGAAAGCCGAATGATGATAGCGAAGGCGGCCGTCTTCACTGCTCCAAGGAGACTTCAACAGAGCGTGTGGCTGCGGAAGATGCCCTAAACCCTAAACCCTGAACCCTTGAAAGGGTTCCTTGAAGTTTCTTTCAAGGTTGTACCGGGCTTGAAGGCCTGGGAAAATGCTCTTCAAGGAGTCTCAAGACCATGTGGCAGGGTTTGTGGCTGCTGGAAGTGGCCACTTGCGGATTTATTTCACATCAGGGCTTGCGATTTTACAGGCTTCCCCTGTCAAAGGGAACATAAGGGCCCGTGTAACGTGGATGCTGCTATTCAGGCACTGAACGGAACGGGGTTTATGAATCATGGGTCTACATCAGTCTTCTTCCTAGAGGCTTCCGGGTTTGGGGGCGTAAGGTTGAGGGTTCAGGACATGGGGTTTAGCGTGTAGGGTTCAGGGTTCAGAGTTTAGGGTTTAGACGGTTAAGGGTTTGGGGCTTAGACGGTTTAGGGTTCAGGGTTTAGAGTTCAGGGTTCAGGGTTTGGGGTTCAGGGTTTAGGCTTTAGGGTTTAGGGTTCAGGGATTAGGGTTTAGGCGGTTTAGGCGGTTTAGGGTTTCGGGTAGTCAAGGATGTCCTGGTTCGGAGCTCTTGCCTGGCTTCTGCGGGTATTCGCTTCTTCTTTTTAGGACCCTAAACTCTAAACCCCTCAAAAACCATAGAGCTCCGAGGAAGGCGCCCACAACTAACCCACGGAATCTAGAGTTTGGACATCTGGGTAGGGGTAGAAGCCTAAATAATTACCAACAGTATTTTGGGGGTTCCTTGTTGTAATCATAGTATAGTATGCCCCAAAACCCTATTCTAATTACTAAGGCCCCTGTATTAGGGGTAGAGGAGGCATGTGGGAGTTGGATTTGGGGTTTAGGGTTTAGGTATGTGGGGTTTTGGGATTTAGGGCCTTGCGCCGAGGGATTACATCTCTAGACCCCCCAAATCGCTGGTGAACCGCATCAAACTCAACCAGACGGTCGCAGGAATCTGCTCCAGAATCCAAAAGCACAGCCGCGTCTAAAGGACTAAGCCTAAACCCTAAGCCCTAAACCCTAAACCCCAAACCACGCCCACAGCTACGGCGAGGATCACAAGCCCAACCGGGAGGACGAAGCACGTCGGATCGAAGCTGCGGGCGGGTCAGTCCTGCGAGTTTTTTCTCAACGCAACTAACCCTAAACCCTAAACCCTGAGCCCTAAACCCTAAACCCGAAACCCTGAGCCCTGAACCCTAAACCCCAAACCCTAAACCCTTTCCTGTGCTGTAAGTGTCTGGAACTAGGCGATGGCTGCTTGCCATGACAGTGTAGGCCTCTCTTTTGAGGCAGGCTTGCGGAGAAAAGGCCAGTGCACTTTTTAAAAAAAAACCCTAAACCCTGAACCCTAAACCCTGAACCCTAAACCCTAAACCCTAAACCCTAAACCTACTTACTTTTAAAAGAACCCTAAACCCTCGACCAAGGGGCGCGGGGTCAGCTAGCTAGGTTTAGGTTTTTTTTTTTCGCTGAATCCCTCAGTCCTACCTGGACCCTCAAGAACCTACCCTTTTTAGGGCTCCTTATTAGGATTTCTATGTCTATATAAAATATATATATATATATATGTATATAATATAGATATATTGAAAAAGGTAGGTTATTTGGCGTTAAGGTAAACCCCTAAACCCTAGACCGTGAGTTTCTTTCCTGTGGTCTCGGAGGTTTCGGGATGTTCTGGTTTCGAGGGCTCAGGGCTCAGGATCTTGTCACTGTTTGCTCGCATAAGACTTAGTAGGTTTAGGGTTTAGGGTTTAGGGTTTAGGGTTCAGGAAGACTTAGTAGGTTTTAAGAAGGTTCTGACAGCTGATGGACGCAATCCTGCAGTGTCAAAAGCAACCGGAATGATCGGAATCATGGTATATTCCTAATTATGGGCTTATGCGTTCATGGTTCATGCAGGATTGGCAGAGAAGCTCGTTGGTCGCTTCTGTGGCCGCTACAATCTGCATCTGCAGCATCAGCACCTCTCTGGCAGCTGGGGAGATGGGCTCACGCTAGTGGCTGCCGCGCACATCCTCCGCGGGCCCATCCGTGTCATCCCTGACAGCCCTTCCTCAGACAGGGACGCTCGATTGGCGTCGGACAGCCCCTTGAGGTGACCTTGCGAATAGACGTGCGCTATGAGGCCACATGTCTACACCGGAGCAGCCTAGTGCCCCGTCCCAGTTTTTCAAGGCCCAGCAACCAAGCCATACTTGGATATCTTACTGGGGATTCAAAAAGCCCCAACAACTGAACTATGCTTGGACATACTATTTGGCATTTGCAGAGACCTTTTGCAACTAGACTCTACTTGGACATACGCATTATTTGGGATTCATTGTCTAAAAACCCTAAACCCCCGGCAATCCGACAAGACTTGGACATACCACTTTCGGGATTCAGGGTGGCCGCAAAATATTCAGCAATACTTGGATAGCACTTAGGGTTTATTTAGGGTGCCCAAGCAATTAGACAATACTTACTCGAGATTTGCTAGAGAATACTTGGACATACTGTTTGGGATACTGAGGGTTCTTTCCGTCAGTCGACCTCTGGATTCCCAGTTCTTTCGCGGATCGTCTGTCAGAGTGGCGATCCCGTTTTTGTTTTTTTTGACTTTGGGTTTCGGAGTTGGCAATGAGTCTTAGGCTGGTGTGCCCATCTTCGGTTCGGCCGACCGTGAAAACGGACTCTCTTCCATGCCATGGTCGAAACCCTAAACTGAACCTGAACCCTAGACTTCTAAGCCCGAAGCCTTAAGCCACTTAAGCCCCAACCCTAAACCACTAAGCCCTAAACCCTAAGCCACGGTTTAGGGTTTAGGGTTTCGGGTTTAGGGACGCTGAAACCTGACCTCTAAACCCTAAACCCTAAACCCTAAACCCTAAACCCTAAACCCTAAACCCTAAACCCCTTCTGCCAGGTGCGTGTCGCAGGGGCCCCTTGGCGGAGGCCCCATGCGCGTCGACGGAGCCCTGGCCGGGATCCCAGCTCCTGGAAGCTAAAACTAACGGCTTAGGGTTTAGGGTTTAGGGTTTAGGGTTTAGGGTTTAAGGCTTAGGGGTTTGGGTTTAGGGTTTGGGGGTCTAGAAATCATTTAGCAGGTCTTTCGACGGAGTTTCTTTTATTTGGGATAATAGGGTTGTATAGGGTTCTGAACAAAACGCTTTCCTCGCACCCTCGGCAAAATCCTTTGAGCTTCCACAAGGCCGTGAGCAGGGCGCTGGGCGACTTTCACTTCAAGCCCAGCGGCATGGACCCGGCAAAGTGCAAGGCCGATCCTTTCCTTACAAAACTGTCTGGTGCTTAGCAGGGAATGGGGGAATGGGTTAAAGGGACTACTATAAGGGACCTTAAGGGACTACCATAGGGATCCATTCCCCAATTCCCTGCTAAGCACCAGACAGAAAACCAAAGGCCTCGTAAAAGTAGGGATCCTATACCGTATAGCATGAACTCCTATACGGTGTATGAAGCTTCAACCCTTTTAGGGTTCATGTCGTCTTTAGGGTTTGATTCATGAAGGGGTCGGAAGGAACTACTAGCGATACTGCCTTCAGAGCCCCTTTTGTCAAACCCGATAGTACGCCCCCTCCTCAAAAGCCCCCTTCAAAAACAACAAGCCTATTCTTAATCATTGGGGGGGGGCCCCATATCATCTTCTCTACACTTGGCTTTGGCTTAGGAATTGGAGACTTGGATTTAGGGTTTAGGGTTTAGGGTTTAGATGTTAAGGTCTTGCCCTAGTTCTTCCTCTATTGTACAGATGTTCATCTTCAGCTCGTCTTTGGAATGTGAGGTTCAACACATTTGTTTCTGCTGCTACTCGGAGTTTAGGGATCCAGAAATGGTTCCTCTGTGGGTTTAGGGTTCAGCATCCGATGAAAAGTGTAGCAGAATTTGATGGGGTGGACAGGGGGGGGGTGTGAATTTAATACTATAGAAGCCGAAATAATCGCCAACATTCTTCCTTGGGTTGTACAGGTGCCCACAGCCCTCTTCTAATTTAATCATCAAGGCCCCAAATACACAAAAGCACATAGCACACATAAAATACGTACATGTATACCTACTTTTCCTAATCATCTGTCTTGGAGTGAGTCTTGGCCTGCTCTTAGGCCGAGTTTTGGTTTCCTAAACCCTAAGCCCTAAACCCTAAACCCTACAAAACGATACCGTGAGCGTGAAGCTCTGACCGGCCGCCCAGGGAACCTTGATGCCAGGGTTCGGGGTTTCGGGTTTAGAGCTTTCAGGGTTTAGGGTTCAGGGTTTAGGGTTGGGCTGAGGGTTTAGGATTCAGGGTTTAGGATTTAGGGTTCAGGGTTTGGGATTTAGGATTCAAGGTTTAGGGTTTAGGGTCTAGGCTTCAGGGTTCAGGCTTTAGGGTTTCGGGTTTAGGGTCGCTTAATGGCCCCTAGCTGCAGAAATTTAGGCGGGGGGTTTCTAGGTGCAAGACTCGACTTCACACTTTTTCTAAGCGCTTGGTCCCCTTGTGCCAAAGATACGAGCCGAGCGACTCCGAGCGCCGACGTGGCTCCAGAGAGACGAACCTGAAGTCCCCGGAACCCGACAAACCTTGAGCCGCGAAGCCTCGAGCCCTCAACCCTGAAACCCTGAACCCGTTAGAGCCGCGTAATATCTTCATACAAATTTTCAGAAAACCTTTGTAAGATCCTTACCTTGAATCCTAAACTAGATTCTAGCTCCGAAGCTCGACACTAAACGCCGAACTTTTTGCAGCCCTGGTTTCAGGTGTCTGTTGTGCCAGAAGTGCAGACAGTCGAAGGGTGTACCTCCGGCCGGCATCTTACAGAAGGGGACGGGGGCCTTGGTTTAATGTAGGGGCCTGAATAATTAGAATAAGGTTTGGGGGTCCATTATACTGTAGTTATAACAAGGACCCCCCAAAAAAACCCTATTCTGCTTATTAATGCCTCTATATGACTATCGGGAATTTCATGATTGGAACAGGGTTTTGCGTATATTATGCCGTAATTGCAACAAGGAGCCCCACAATACTTGCAAGCATCTAGGCCCCTACAAACTACGTTTGTTCTTCTCTGAAGGCTGTTTTATTCCAATTGCTCAGGGTTTTCGTTGTCTTGAAAACAAGGTTTCCTCAGGAGAACGCGGAACAGGGCAGGTTGTTACCACGGCTTTTAGGATTCCTGTGGCTTTCGGGTGTCGGGCTTGCAGCTGCAAGGCTTTCGGCATCGGGTTCACTGCGGTTTAGGGTTTAGGGTTTAGCGCTGCCCTAAACCCTCAGCCCTATATAAATCCCAAACCCCAAACCCTAAACCTTAAACCCTAAACCATGGTTTGAATGGTGAGCCATGCTATGATATGCCTTAATTTCGCTATAATATGCTAGAATATACTACGATTTGCTATCATTTGCTGTAAGAATGCCATAACAAGCTGTTCATGCTATGATATGCCTTAATTTCGCTA